AAACTGTGGGCTATGTAAACCTGAAGGAGGCTATAGAAAAACTGGAGGCTGAACTGCTTTTTCTCAAAGATGTCAACATTCGTGATTGAATCGTCCTTTCAGTTTAAGGAGTGATATTTCGAATCGTTACAGCAAAGATTTTGTACACAAAACAACAACAACAACAACAAAAAGAAACGAGAAAGTTGTATTGTGGTACGGCAATAAGATACAGTCTCGCCTTAACTTGAAAGGTTGGGAATGAAGGTGGTTCCTTCATAAGGTAATTGAGACCTAAAACTTTTATCCAAAAATATGAATTACCTAAAAATTGTCCTTTGTACCTCCCCTTTCTCACGATGATCGCATCCCATCATAGTTAATTGAGTGGAATGGTTATGAAACCCGTCAGACTCCTTTGTTATATGTTTTTGTGGACCTGAAAGTGCACAACGTTCAAAAGAATTCCTATCATTTTGATTGTATTGACCAATAAAAACGTTGCATTAATTTATTCCGTAACAATTTGCCAACAGAAAACAAAGGATTGTGCACTTTCAGGGTGCTTCCAACATAAACTGCAGCACTGTTGTTTCTATCATTGATGTTTGCCGCTTTTCATAACCAGTCTCCTCTAATAACTATGATTCCATCGTGTTAAAAAGTCTCCCCTGATCATTGGAATTGTAGATCGAATAAAGGTAAATAGCGAGCAGCTATTTCCATTCAGTGAGTCAGAACTTTCCCATCGTTTCGTTTATTTCGCGGCGATAGCTCAGGTATGGAAAAATCTTCATCGGCAAAATGTCTTTTATACAGTGATGTTGCGAAAGGGGAGCCAAGTCCCACAGGAACTGCGAGGACGAAGAAGAAGCAAAGACGAAAAAGGCAATCAAGGAGTTGGAGGTTTTCGTTTCACAAACATTTTACAGCTTTTTTCTATTTATTTCTTTTTTTCAATAACTTTACTTTATCATTTTTTTCTGTACTTTTTTTACCCACGACATTAACCCACACCCACGACCCACGACCCACGACATTTAGCTACACTCGCAAAAGATACTCGGCACTTAGTGTTCGTATGAGGTTGTTCAAATTAGATTGAAATATGAAATCGTCCTCGAATGGTTCTGCTGTTTGTTGGAATATTTGAGACTGCGTTCGTTACTTTTTACAACTACCAATGTAGAATAGCCCGTGTAGAGACGCCCCCCCCGTCACTCAGAAAAAAATCGGAAGAAGAGACGACTGTGAATCGCCGTACGGTAGTTAATCGTGTTCCCGTTTCCCAGGAATGTTGGGGAAAGCCTCTCACTGGTTGTAATGTTAATGCCATGACGCAAATAATTTCTGGTGTTGTTATTGATGAAAGAATCTCAGAATAGATTCCCCAGGGAAACCTCAGCCTTTGTGGACAGCTTACCGCATTTAAATTTGTTTACTCGTATTACGGCTCTGTGGAATAGGCATGTTAAAGGGGCTATGTCAGCTGGAGAGCATGCGCTCTGAGGTTATGCAAATTACTTTCAACTGTCAAAATTCTATTGTTTTTAACGCGTGACTTTCCCCATGTGCGCTCTGAGGTTATGCAAATTACTTTCAACTGTCAAAATTCTATTGTTTTTAACGCGTGACTTTCTTCATGTTCTCTGTCACGTCTAAGGTTCCGAATTTAGAGAGGTTAACAAGCGAAATGGGTTTGGATAAGGGATATTTCGATAGAATTTATGGAACGTTTCTTCTCTGGTTATGCTAGATCAAGAATAAAATTGTGACGACAATTTTACTTGTAGTTTTGAAGTAAAAACGAATGCCATTCATAAAATAGAGCGCAAACAAAAATTCAACAACAACATATTGTCTTATTCAACAAAATAAATGGAAGTTGTATTTTACAAACGAGCTACAAAAGACGCTAGACCGAAGATAAAGACCAAGACTGTTTCAAATCATTAACAATTAGACTTGTCTGTCGCTACTGATTTTATAATTTAGATGCTGATAGAACAAGAGACCAAGTCTTTGTTTTGATCTTAGGGAAACATACATTATCGCGCAAAATTGTTCGATCGTGCCAAATCACTGCGACGTCGAGAAAAACAGAACCCAGCATCATTGGTATACTACTCCACTATAAGCAGTCCGTTGATAAAAAGGGAAAGTAAACTCTGCTATTTTCCAAAATTATGCTCGAACACAAACAGTTCAAAAACATGGCATTTACAGGATCTAACTCGTACTAAGGTGCCTCTCTAAGTCCGTTGAGAACAATCTGGACGAGCAAACGGTCGTGTTTATCTTTGCCGTGAATCGAGATAAATACAAGAAGGAATCTAGCCGAATTTTAGAATGTTTCCTTCGCCAGGAGTTTAGTTTCGTAACGAAACTCATGGCCTGATGCTCTTGTAATCGTTTACAAAAAACGGCCGCCGCCAACTCGATAGCCGCTTCATTATATGTCCACATACTTTGAGCACAAGAAAAATCCAAGAGCCAGCAGCCTCTAAAATAACTCAATAGAAAGGTCCTGTGAACTATAGGGAAGATTCCATCAAAGATTCCATCACTCATTGTGGAGTAGCCGTCATTAACTCTGCCATTACAACGGCCGCTGATAGGAGGACACAGTAAATCCACGTAAAAACATTCCACAGGCAAACAATTTTAAGATAACGCCAAAAAATTGTTCTGTAATCACCATAGAACGATTCCTAATACAAAACTTCGCTAACTATCGAACGATGGCTGAGATTTAGACAGATAAAAACAGCCTTCCAAAATCTCCGACACAACTTGAAAAAGTTGGGCCGTCTTTTTAACTCGTGGGTACGCGCGAGCGTACCACGAGTTATTGCAGGGACTGAGATATGCAAATGAGTCACTCACTCACTCGTAGTAGACGCACTTCGTAATTAATCGGGTCCGAACTCGAGAGCGCGAAGATCTATCGTTTCCAAAGAAGCACGCGCTCGCCGAAGTTCGGTAGCATCAAATTCCTCGCTGCGAACGTGCATCGTGCGCTACAGCACGGTTAGGATAGAGGTCTTACCAATTAAGACAGGCAGGAATCTTTCAAATTAGTACGATTCAAAAGCCTTTGACCCGTCCAGGCGTTAAACTTGACAAGAAGATGAGCATTTGCTCTTCGACTCCTTCAACTTCGACGCTGGCTTGATCTCGTACCTTGTGGTACTGTAGTAGGTTATGTGTATGAATGAATTTATGGCGGTCAGTATAAAACACGGAATGCGAACTACGGACTGGTGAAATGTATGGTAAATAAAGGTACTTCTTCTTCTTCTTCTTCTTCTTCTTCTTCTTAAGGACTCCCCAAGATCACGGGGGGAAATGGATGTGAGTTTGAGCATTACCTTTTTAAAATAACAGCGGATGTCGACATAAGAAAACATAAGCTAATGTTTTGCGTCCTACTTCGCGGAGGAGTTGTGTCGTCTTTGTATCGCATATGTTCTTTCATTGCTATGAAATGCGTTTACATTGTTTTTTACTGTCAGTAGCCTGGTTTCAATTAGCCTTAATTTCATCCCATTCCTTCGAGTCGTTTTTATGGCTCGTTTGTTTGCCCCGGTCGTTTGCCGGCGGAAGTTCCATATAAAGTGCATTAAATTTGATTATTTATCATGGGACTTCCTCAATGGCGTAGTGGCTATGTGAGGTCGGGTTTTACCGAAGGTACCGGGTTCAAATCCTGCTATAGACTTTCTTTTTCCCTTCTTCCTTTTTTTTTTTCTTTTTTGTTTTGTCTCGTTTGCTTATTTGTTTTGCTGTTTTTTTTGTTTTGTTTTTAAATATATACTTAAATAACTGTTACTAAAGTGCAATTAACAGCAAGAAAAGTATTGTCTTTCCAGAACAAGGATAGTATATTTATAATGTGAATTTCTATCATTTCCTAAAATTCACTGTGGGAAAACCAGAGGTGATAACCAATTGATTATTTTCTAAACAACGTACCCACGAGTTGACGATAGTCTTTCTTTGATTCAAGTTTGTTTTCATTGGCTCGCGCATGCGTGTTGGGTGACATAGCCCCTTTAAGTCAACAGACCACTGATGTTTGCTGCACCGGTTGCCGGTGCGTCTGTTGTCTACCGGTGGCTTTTGCTAATAAAAGAGAAGGACGTACAGAATTCAACGCCAAATGAGAGATCTTATATCTGGATTTTAGCGTGGACATTGCGTGAAAATGTTCGGCTAGTCATTCGGCCTACATGTGCCGGTCATGAATCGTAGAATTAGGCAAAAGTACAGCTATTTCTATCATAATTCCTTGCTGAAGAAAAGTGAACGAACCTTTACGTGAAACCTAATCGCAATCATTGAATGGATCAACTCCTGCATAAAACACTTGACTGGAAAAGTAAACAGCTTGCTTCCGAGATCAAAATTCTGTCAAACCAAAAACCACAGGAAATCGATGCACAGTAAACAGACCGACTTTATGAGCTAAAAAGAAGACCGAAGAATGTGTTAGAATATGTGAAGAAGGGGTAATAAACTCGTTATAAATGACATTTTACTAGATAGATATTCTAGTTAGAGCTTACTAGCTTAGCTACAAAGGTTGAAAACATCCGAGAGAATAACTTCGTATCCGCTCTAAAAAAGTCCAGAGTCGTGTTGGTCTGTCAACACCTTTTCAACTGTCAGAGAAAACAAAAAAATTATGCAAATGTAACCGGAACACGATTAACGACAGCGATTCACAGACGTCTCTTCTTCCGATTTTTTTCTGAGTGAGGGGGGACGTCTGTACACAGGCTAGTGTTGAATAGCCTGCGAAAACATCCGTTTCTCCTCGCTCTTTCCCATCGGCGAACAGCGAGGAGACTACGGATGTTTTCGCAGGCTAAGTGTAGAAAAAGTCACCAAAGTTAAAGATTCCGTCACGGCCGTTTGCCAGAATCACAGAGGCGAAAATTGCGATCAGCTCTTGACTGCAAGATAATGGACTTACTAATCGTGAATGTATGGGTGTGCAAAAAAGAAAATGCCATTGCTCATACAAAACATGGCTTTTCCCATGACTGGTATCCATTTATATCTTTGTAAGATACATTTGAGTGCAGTGAACTGCTTTCCTTTCGACAATTCACTTCCTTGAAAGAGCTTCCCCTAGCTGATCGAATAGAGTTCCTCTCGCTATAAAACGACCTTTCTAGTGTCATGTCCTGCCGCTGGACCCCCGGAAGGAAAAAGCAGATAAAAGCAAGAAGCTTCTTGAATGCGGCGCGAAAGTCTTTGTTCATGCAAGCGTAGATGATTGGGTTGAGTACGCTGTTGACATAATGCAACCATTTGGCCGCAAGAACTGACTCTTCGGGGAGGGGTGAGCAGCTTTTACAGAGACCGAAGATGAGATTTAGAACAAAGAAAGGCCCCCAGCAGATGACAAAAGCACCAATAACAGCAGCTACTGTTTTTGCTGCTTTGAGTTCCTTGGACAGAAGAAATTTCTTAGGGCTTCCTTGAACCGTGAGAATCATCTTCTTTATCTGATGACGGGCGGCTTTGTATATCTTCATGTAGCACACAAGCATGACCACCAAGGGAATGAAAAAGCACAAGACACTTACGATTATCTCGTAGACTGGCGGAGGTACAGACCAGATGATTAAGTTGAGGGCAGCCATGAAGATTGAGAACAACCATATAATCAGTATGGCTACCAGTACCTTTGTGGTCGACATTTTTTCGTGGTAGGTGAGTGGCGAAGAAATACAGATGTAACGTTCGATGCTAATTAAGCTGAGATGAAGGATGGAAGCCACTCCACAGAGGATGTCAACACAACTCCAAACCTGGTCAAGAAAGCACAAAATCTTAGTATTTTGACCTCTTTATGGTTCACCTGTTTTCACTCAATTTTCTACTGATTGAATTTTGAAAAATTTCTTAAAACAGATTCTCTAAAGGGGAGCGGGTTTTCAAGAGTCAAAATTTTCATTGACTTTTCGGGGACAACGCAAAAGATTTTAGTGTCACTCCATGTAAGGTAATCCGATCCGCATTTCGGCATCCGGGGAATGTTTACTTATAGAACCCGGAATTTAGCTCAAGGAATCCGAAATCCCGTTAACGTTTGGAATTCGGAATCCATGTTCCACTGACAATGAATCCAGACCCATTAACCGGAATCCGGAAACCCACCGCGTGAAATTCAAAATCCAAGACTGTCTTGCGTAACCTTACATGGTGCGACAAGGTGCCTGTACCTCCTGCGTTCAATCGAAAACAGTCATGTTTTTTCTTAGATCAGTGCCTGATCAGTGTTGTCCCCGTGTACTTGCTACTTGCTCATCTTATTGGTTTAGGCCTAGGATTAAAAATTGTCTGGAAAATTCAAATCCTAGAAAACAAGATTAAAAAGGTGAAACTCTTCAGAACCTGTTGAAGCCACAAATCAAACATCCACGCAGGTCCAGTGAGGAGATATGCAACCCAGACTGGCATAGACACCGCTGCTACAAGAATGTCCGCCACAGCAAGAGACACTATAAAATAATTAGTCATGCTGCGGAGTTTTTGGAAAACAGCAAAGGCAATGACAACCAAAACATTTCCAAACAAAGCCATGAGGATGATGATAACGAGAAACGTCGTGGAAATTAGAACGACTTGCTCGTCAAATTTTTCCTCAACCATGTTGCCGTTGCTTGGTGTCTCTGGTGTAGAGCTCGCCATCTTAAACTGAGAGAAAGGTTGATAAACTTTAATTTTGCAGTTACAATGAGATGCTTAAGAAATATTACAAGAGACCCCGCGTTATAACCGCCTCGTAGGACTAGGTTTTTCACAACGGTGGATTCCACTCTGGGCAAATCACGAAGGATTGACTAAAAATAGGAAAAGGTTGAAAAAAGGTATTGAATCCGTGCAAACCTAACAACGTTTGCCTAATGTCTTTCAAGTTTCTCTAAATTTGTTCAAAAGCGCGATGTATGATCCTGAAGGTAACCAATGTTTCTTCCTTACAGGGCCGTGAATTTCTCAATAAAATAAATTGTGTCCTTTGCCAATACATTCCCGGGCTTTCTGTGCCTGTAAAGATATTAAACATTAAATAAAATCAATTGATCGATTATTCGTTTAGTTCATCCTCTCCGAATCTTTTTGCGAGAGGCGGTCAAGTCTCTTCTTGTGGCTTAGGTCTCACAGCTAGAAAAGCCGCTTACTGTTGCTATCCAATGTTCCGAATTGTTTACCTTTTCTACCTTGGGTTTGACCTTCCCTGAGTATTTTGCTTTTTTAAAAAAATGAAATGTTCCTTTTAGTTCTCGCGAAGAAACATTTTAATACTTGACCAGCAATGTATCCAGCATTATGACAAAGAAATCGCAAATCTGGTGCTTTAAGTGCCGTTAGGTTCTGGCCGATTCTATAAATTGCAAAAAATCCCGATGAATAAGACAAAGGAGGAATAAAATAGGAATTAAATTACATTTATGACATTTATTACATTCGACATTTGCAATTCTATTGTACCAGGAGTGATGAAGATTGATTTTGCGGTTTATTTCTGCCTTGGCTCAAAAATTTGACCATAATTGTTTATAAAATAAATAGGGATGAAACTTTCATTGCTTGTCTATCGAGGAAAGCTTGCGTAAAGAGAAAACTGCTAAAACAAACAAACTCACAAAAACTTAAATTTGTCGCCAGTGGATCCTCTAATCCATTCATACTGTATTAATGAAAGTGTATTGGATATTTTGTTCTATATTTTGTGGTAGATTCTAATCTTATCTTTGTTCAATTTTTATCGACTTATTTGCAAGAGAGTCCTCAAAATAGTCTTCTTTTAACTTCGTTTTAGCTCTTTAGCTCTTCTATTGAATTATTGCATGAGATTCTATTAATAATAAGATTTGAATAAGACTAGAGATATCAAAAATAAATGGTGAAACTATAACTGTCTGTGATAGTAAAATACAACCTGCCTTACACATTCTAGTAAAACAATATTTTCCAAATCCTAATGACGGTAAAACGGATTTCACTTAAAATTGTCACTAAAATAACCTCGTTTTATTTTCTTTATCTTTTACATTTTTAAACGGGAAATGTTTAACTTTAAGTCACGGAATGCTCAGTCATTTTTTGCCTTCATTGCCTACTCAATTTTGTCGAAGCGATGTGTTATCTTAAGAACTGGTCTCCGATAGTTAGCAGCGTCGTTGTCGTCCTGAGTCTAGTTTTCAATGCCTAAAAGCCGTTCCATTTGAATCAAATTTTGGTTAGACCTTCTGCTCTCTTAGCTCATTTATAGAGAGAAACTACATGTACATCAAAGTATTATGGAAAAAATGAATTTAGAAAGCTAAACCTACCTTTTTGTAGCTTGATTAGTTTATATACTCACATTTGTCGTTACAGCTTTCTGTTGGTTTCCCATATAGTCTAGGGTCACCATGAGCTCTTTGCTGTATACTTCTTTGAAAAATTCGACAGCTGTAAAAAAATTTCTCAGTATAAACTGATGTACAAATTTAAATCATTTTATCTTGCTGCCGTCGTGCATGAAAGAAACCTCTTAAGTTGTTTTGATATGAATTGTGCAAGATTTAACAGCAAAAGTGTAGAAATCTTTGCAAATTATGTCATAATATGAAGCTGACCTCAACCAATCAAATCGCTTTTTTATGGCATTTATGAGGACGCCATCGCAAATGATTGATCATAGATATATATTAGGAAGCTTTCGTGCAAATTCGGAGGACGAGGACAGAAAAAAATATACAGTACTTTACCGCAGGCTTATTGTTAAGAAATAGTAACGCAAATTAATGCTAAACGGAGTAGTTTATACCCTAAATCAAATTGTCAATTCTTCAATCACCAAGGTATCGCCACGTTGTTAAATGTTATTTGATTTTCAGTCTGTTTGTCTAGTCTTATGTAGTACAGCAGTTATCCGGAAACTTTTACTGAAATTCATTTTGCTTTCAAATTGAAGTTGTCATTCTTCTGGAAAAATATATTAATGACATTTTATCTGAAAGCTCTTCTGGGTGCCATCGTTGCTACTAATTTAGATTGACAAACAGAATCGAAACTGTCACTGGTTGAAATCTGAAAACTGGAAAATTGGTACCGAAGAGTAACTAGTGGCAAAAAATGAATAAGGTTTGGCATTGACATTTGACGCCTAAAAATTCGTAAATTCATGGAGGATGACAGAGCACATTTTTCATTTTAATAAGAGGGACGAATGGCAGAAAATGAAAATATCGGTGGCGGGCAATGATCGAGAAATGAAGTAACATAAAAGTGTGAAGAGTTTAAAGAGCCGCTCAACCAAATGGAAAATTAACGAACCCTTTCATCTTAAAAATTTCTTTTGAAATTCTCTTTTCCTTCCTTAGCTTTGAATGCTTTGATAAAATCCTCAAGTCTAACAACTCCAATGAAAGCTCCTGAAAAGCTTTTTTTCTTACTTATAATACTCGTTTATTGCACTGGCGGAGTGCTTATGATGGATTCATAATGATAGAGGATGCCATTTTCGGTATAAAAGTACTGAAGTGGCGAAAACATTAAGAGAAAGCAAATGGCTAGCTATTTTTGACAAATTGTACAAATGATCTTGTGGTCTTATGACCCGGCGAAAGACTAAATGGAAAAATAATCATCGAACTTTTCAAAGAACTATCTTCAACAAAGCTTATAAATCCTTTAAAATTCTTCAACATTTATTTCCTTAATTTTCAGTTTTTTGACGAAATCTTTTAGCGCGACTAAAATAACTTTTTTCAGGATCACGGTTTTTTTTTCGCACCGTAACTTACTCAGACGCTTATAGTTAGGAAGGTAAACTTGGTCCGTTTCTAAAATCGTGCTAAATCTTCGTTGCGTGGCAAGCCCTGTCGTGCTATATACTACAAGGCATTAGCATGACTTGGTTTAAGATGTATCTTATTCTGAAGTGCCATATTTAATTCAATCCACAAATAAAATCTTGAACGACAGGCTCGGAGTGCATTGACACCAAGGTGCCTTTCAATGAATTTCGAAATTTTTCAACGCCTCTCCAACGCGTCCCCAGTGTATGTCATTGCTCTAATTCTGAACAACCTCGTGGTAACATTTTAATCTATGGAGGAAATCATCTAGTCCTTCTATTCCAAAAAAGAAAAGTCTTCAGATGGGCTTCGACATGGTACCATTTATTGAACCCGGAATTTTGAAAATAACAATTTGAAATTTTTTAATGAGAATCTATCAGGGGCAAAAAGATTTAATGAATAGTTCTGAGAGGGAATGCCTCGGAAAAAAACCGCCTCGAGAAATTGGTTTCTTGAAAGCCCTATCAAGTGGTTTGTTTTATCAAGTAGAAAGACATGTGAATTTTTCAAATAAGACCAAATCCAGCAATTTAGCACACACTACCAACTCCGCGGCATGGCCAGTACCAGTCTTCTTGTTAACAGTTTTTTGGGCAGAACACTAGCTGATTTCTATAGCTGATCCCATCTCTATACGCTTGCCGAGAACTGTTTTGCGCCCCCGAGCCTCCACAGCCACATGTGTGAGGTGGAGCATGTGAACTCGCCTCGTAAAACGGCTGGGTCAGTAATCGCAAGTAATACCTTTCGCCAAGAGAGAAAGTCGCCTAAGGCCATATGGCTGACCGCACGCGCAAGGTACTGGCGATACCGCGGAGTTGGTATTAGGGACTTTAAGAAAATCGCCTCGGCGACCTCTACTACGGCGGCCGGAAGTAAAAGCCCAAAAATGACGCAGTGCAAATGCCTGGAAATGACCTTTCGCCCGAGCGCAAAATCCTATAAGGTGAAGACCTGTCTTGTGGCATAGTCGCTACTGCTTGAGTATAAAAGTCTAGTTTTCTCCTATTTTTTTCAATCACAGGTCTTAAATCCTATCATAGATTGTTTTTTGCTTTATCAAGAAAGTATTGGACGCTTCCGGTTTTCCAGTAATTACGTGTTTTCCTGCGTTTTGTCACTTTAAAATTTCTTATCCTCAACCTAGGTCAGATGCCGTGTACAATTTGTACGGAAAATCCAGATTTTGGGGTTTGTACAAATCATCCAGCAACAAAAACTTATCGTCAGTGATTAATCCTTGATCATGAGAGAGAAAATTAACATCCCTTGCTTCTCTAAAGGAGGTCATTACGACTTACTAACAACGATAGCAAGTGAGCAAGAAACGCCTTAGTCACTGTTTGGACGCGCTTACTTAAACTTGAAATTTTGGCAGGCTACGGTGACGTACTTTCTCTAGCACTCCGCATCCACAACCGCCACAGTAGAGGTCGCCGTAACCATTTGCTTTAAGTCCCTATTATGTGATTCAGTGCTGAATTTGGTCATGTAAATTTTTGCACGTTTTTTGTCAATCATGACCCACGGTGGAGAAATTGTTTGTCCAACCAGAAGCCATGTAACGTATGAACTGAAGTTATTCTATCGCCGCTCATTCGTTTCGCGTTTCGTTACATACTTCACAGATAGAATTTTGAAGAAATCTATAAGGAGTTAATCTATAAGGAGTTTTAAGGAGTTAAATTAACCCCTCTAGAGGAGTTATTATAACTCCTTAAAAATCTGACTGTGAACACACAGAAGTCATGTTGGAACGGACATATCACGGAATCATGTACATTCTTTGAACTGCCTTAAATACCATGGCAGTAAAATATTTTCAGTGAGTGAAAAATTTTTATAAACTACAGATTTTATTTTCTAAGAGGAAATTTTAAACATCTCGCGGAAAAGAAGACACAACGAAGTGTTCTAACACCCTTATCTCACTTCAGGAAATGAAATGATTTTCAAAACTGTTTTACTGAGGAAAAATGAGGTATCTCGATATTCTTGAATGTCGTAAAATTTTTTATTTCAAACAATACCGAAAACTTTTAAACCTACAATTTTAACTTTTTGTGTTAATAAAACTGCTTTTATAGAAAAAAGACAAAATTTATTTCGCTTTGTATATCCTAATATTGTTGGAGTATTTAGGCTAATCCGCAATTATTGGATTCGATTCTAGTATGATATGAAAGAATTGGACAGATCGAGGTCGAGGGTATTATCTGGCACGGCTTATCTGCCTCGCTCCCAGGTCTGCCTGATTCTTCATATCATACGAAAGCCAGATAAAATAATTGTGTTATCTTTCGTTCAAATATGTTTAACTTCAAAAGGCATGCTTACCTCGATCGATTTCAAGTTCCTGTCTTAATTTGCCTGCCGCTGGGCAAATCTAGGACAGAAAGAGATGTTTAGTCTTGCAGATAATCTTTAAGAAGCAGTTGTCATTCGTCGATGATCGTCGAACTGGTATTTTTGCTTTCCTTGCTGCGTTTTAGTAGTTTGACTATCACTTCTTCTTCCGTCATTTTCTCCGTCTTTAACAAAAGAGCTGAACTAGCGCGTCTTCTGCTGTCCCTTTTTCTGTCTACAATTGGCAACATTAGCGTTGTAAACTTCTTCCATATTTAGTCAACGCTAGGGCTATTTAACAATTATTCCTCGAGCCCGAATGGGCTCTGAGTCCCGAAGGCCGAATGGGCTATTGACTCACAGGTCATGAGGGCGAGAGGAATAATTGTTTTAGCAAAATCCAACTAGTTGGTCAAAAAATATCGAGACAAAACAACTTCAGCTAGTTAAAGCTAGACTTTAATCCTTTTTTGCCGCCAAAAAGCCGACGCTTTGCGTTACTAGTGGGCTATAACATGTAGCCTAGTAGTGGCTCAACCAATCAGAACCCAGCATTGATGATAGACCACTAGTTGGATTTTACTAAAAGGAATTAGCCAGGCGTCGTAAACCAATCAGAAAAGGAGGGATATCTTGAATGCATATGTCTTTTGAAAATACACTATACTAACCTGTCCATTTTGAGTTTCAAAAACCCCAACTTTCAAAATGAGGCAAAACCTTTCATATGAAAATGAGTTGCGTTTGAATGAGAATGGGAAACTATTTGCACTTACCTTTGTTTTAAAGAGATGAGAGTGGTTTAACATGGGCTATAGAGAATATAGATACCACTCTACATTGTGCATGTATTCTTTGACTTCTGGCGGAAATATCTTATCATTATCTCTTCAAGTTCTAGTGATGCCCATAAAATTATTCTGGAGGATGCACAACGCATAGCGCTCAGAGTCGGAGCGTGTACAGTTCACTAAAGAACTTTATATGCTCGGCCTCGCCTGTGGCCAAATTCAACCTATAATGCATTTTCCCAGCAAACAGAGAGCTCTCTCAAAGGAAGATTCCGCCCACATCAATAATTGACGTAATATGTCACGGAACATGAAAAATAAATACAACGTATCATTGCGTTTAGAGTGAAATTCACCTTAGAGCGACCGTGTTGTGCAGGAGCTCGAGTGTGCCGTCAGGGCTGTGAATTCGATACTTTGTTGGGGTCTTATAGTTTTCCGAGCAACAGAGACTCTTGTTCCTTTTTTTTGTTGCGTGATTATGTTATCCTCCAATCTCTAAGTATTACTATAGTCTACCGAAGATTGTCCCCAGCTGGTATTCAGCTGGTATTTATAAGAGATCGTAAGATTCGAGTACAGGGGCGCGGCTACGAGGACACGCAAGAAATAGATACCGCAAAAAGCTTCATTGTATCTTTTTTTACGATAAAAGTTGGCACTCATATTTTTATTGAAGGGGGTTACTGATAAAACTTCTAACATTTGATAACTTATTTCCGTCAATGCGACATTCTCGCTGAAACGCGTAGTAGAAAGACGGCGGCTATCATGTTTTCCCGCCAAAATGACGCTGGTTCTCGCGCAGACACTACTTCGTACTGAGATAATATCGTACTCTCTCGTCTTAGGCCCTCGTTACAAGGAGGGAGGGTATCCCTAGTGCAAGGGTTACCCTAGAAATCGCACATTGCTTCTTTCTTTTACACGACGTGTTTACAAGGCAGGTAAGGTTACCCTAGCGCTAGCCTAAGGGTAACCCTACCTGAGTGCAAGGGTTATCCTAGCAAGAGGATTACTCTACCTGGGGGGTAACCCTACCTGTGAAATTTGCTTGTAAACCAGAGCTAACTTTAATCCGCTTGCTAGGGTAACCCTAGCACAAGGGTAACCCTCTCTCCTTGTAAACAGGCCATTAGAATTTAAAGGTCCCTATTTACTTGCCTCTTGAAGGCAGTCAACAAGAAATACGAGGATAAACCACTAACATAACAAACAGGAGCGAATGGCAACTTTTTAGCCTAATTTGCGAATAACCTCGTCTTGCCATGATCGAGTTTTTACACATGCTATAGGCAGGGTAGAGACACTCTTGTTGTATAAAATCACTTATTAGCTGCAGGTTAAAATCCTAAGAATCTGCTAATCTCAATTCATAAACAAACCGAAAGCGGCAATACTTCCTTAAATTTTTTTTTCTGGTCATCTTCATGTAGATTTCTCTAGGGACGACCACGGCATTCACTAAACTTCAAAAAAAATACAGCAAAAGTCATCTCAAACGGTCTTCAATCAATTTATCACTTTTTATTAAATGTTTAATTTACATGTTTGTTTCTAAGATCCCTTTGTTTGCAAAATTGTGAACCACCAAAAACTTATATCAGCGATATATCCTTAATACGGGTCAGTTCACAAATGGAAATCTTGATTATCCTTTTTTCATCAGTGTAAGATTAAGTGCAGGAAATTTGACAGTGATAGTTTGCCGGAGGCAGTTCGTCGTTTTGCACGCAAAGTGAACCGAGTGATGGTCACAAGAGACCACTCTATAAACCTCCAACTTTCAAGTTCATTTTTTTCAGTGGTAAAAATTTCTTATTTTTTCGACTTAAAAGACCGAAAATTGTATAACAGTGCAGCCTGTTAGTGTACTGAATAATTTCGATGGCCTGCACAACAGGATGCGTTTAGAGATGTTGGAAAATTTGGAGAAAAATTTACTGAAATACCGTCTTGTGAAAATAGTCTTTCCCCATTTAACGGAAAAGTTTAAAGTTGTTTTTGCAGAGAGGGGTATCTACCCATACCTGAAGCGAATAGAACCAAAAGGCAATACTTTTAATGACGGTTGTAAAACAGGAACAGATGTCATGAACAAAGATTACGCTAGACTCCGCTCGAAGTCTTGAGATGCCAAAATGTTTTAAAGCACAGTTACGGTCAAAAAGAGAGCTCCAACTGATATAATATAGATAGAGGTTGGAATTCATGTTAATTTAAGCCAATGACAACACCTTTCAAAATTATGAACAGAAAAATAAGCGTTAAGAACAAAATGTTTTGTTTGGCTTTTTAAACATCCTTTTTACAGTTTGTTTCATCGTTTTAAAATTTTCCAGACTGACTTTAAGGTTGATTTAAAAAACGACTGTCTCCTGCAAATCAGTGAATTGGTTTAAACTGAAATCTTCCAAGAAAATTCTGGAAAAGAAACGGTTCAGAAGGCTTAAGGAAATTATAAAGATACAGCACTAACCACAGTTTTTAAATGATTTAGAAATGGCCAAAAATACGACTTGTCACGTTGCTGTTCTTGTGAAACCATAAATCAAAAGTAAGATATCGCAAAAGGCCATTAATTTAATTTTATTCTTATTGCTTACAATGAATATTACTATACTTTTCTGAATTAAAAAAAAAAAAAAAAATGAAGGGATTTTAGATAAGCAGAAACGAAACGGAAACTGATCCGGAGGTTTTGAAAAAATAACAATCCATTGATAAAAAAAGAGATCGATTCTGTTATTTACTTCAGTTGCCTAATTTGGTACCATATATTTTTTTTACTTTTCAAAGATGACATCAAAAGCTTTTCATTAACTGAAAGCGTTTTCATTATTGTTGAAAGACAACTGTGAAAAGAGGAAATATCGTAAATGTAAAATGCATTTTTGGCTCGTTCATTATAGAAAATAAATAATAATATTTGTTGAGAAATAGAAGTCTCGTTAATCTAAAACCAGAAAGAGATTAAAATGAAACGTTTATCGCAGTCAAATGCACATCAGCTACTCCTCAGAATTATGAATTCGTGTGTTTCAATTTTCCTTGAGGCCAGCAAAACAATAATCTTTTTGTTGTGAAAAGTGGCAATAAAGCAAAATATACTCCATCTATTTTGTCAGAAGTTGATCTTTTAGAACCTTGTTATCATAAATAACGATTCCTCAGAGTTGCAAATAGCTTAAAAAGGATAAGGAAGCATTGAATATTGAAGGTCAGTTGTTAAATACTGCTCAGCTCGTTTGAGTCGAAAGCCGAGAGATTAAAGTGCGGAATGCCTTTCAGTTTTTAAATATCAATAATTAGCCCCTTGAAAGCGTTTCGGAAGAACGTTTCCTTACATTTTTCTTCGTTCATGTTCACAACGAACAAAAGAGATATGCTTGTTGCTTTTGTTAAAATTCTGTCCTCGGAGATTGCGATAACCTTTAGTTAGCTGATACTGTGCGTTCACTTTAGAGTGGTTAATTTGTAGGCAAACACTGAAACTTATTAACTTGAACAATTCGGTTGTATGTCAAAAAAAAGAGATTTCACTGGTGTGCTCATTTTTCGACGCGTTTCAAACTTCAGAATCTGTGAGCTGTTAGCTTTCAAAGAGATGTAAATGACAACAACCTCACGTAAAGCAGATGTCTGAGGATGAGGAAGAAACTCTTCCTTCTGAATTTTATTTTACTCTAGGGAAACTGAATTTAAAGGGAGCGATTTATGGTTAAAGAGGTAAAATAATTGAATAAAATATATGCTTCAGTGTTCCCAGAGGCTCTCTCATATCTGGTGAATTTGTGACTGACTGACACGGTGTAACCAGTTAGAAATTTGACACGTTTAACTAGCATAGCGCCTGAAAAAGTTGCCAAGTAAATTTTGTGAAAGGGGTCTTGATAGATGCACCCTACATATAAATTAACTACACCAAATGATATTTGTGAAGATAAAATAAATAAGAAAGATAAAATAGTGAAATACGGTGGGAAGATATTTTCACCTTACGAATAAACAGCTAAATGCTGCTTTGCCGGCAGTTTCACCTCTGTGTTATCGAATTCTTTTTGCCTTTGAAAGAGTAAAATTCCTTACCTTAATTCAACATCTGTCATATAAAATCGCGTTCGTGAAACAGCCTACGGTGTTGACACCTAAACAGAACTTACCAAGTCTATAATTTGATAAATGGAAAAGGAAACTTATTCCTTATGAAGGCATCCAATAAGAATTAAGGAGTGCGTTCTATTGTCATGGAAACCATCTCCAGCCTTTATCTTTTCATAGTGCGATCTCAAAACTGATATGAAAGAAGTTTCGTTTGATTGATAGAAGAATCGTTCCTCACGTTTATGCGGAAAACGATAATTAAGTCTATAAAATATGGTTTATTTTCTGAAGAAAAAAATCTAAAAAGGGGCAAATCGAGGGTATTGTCTTGTTGTTAATTCTACTTCAGTTAAAAGCTGAAAAAAAAAATCTACTGTGTGGGAGAAAGGAAGAGATGCAGACCTGTTAATTTCTTTAGTAACATTTTGAAGAAGAAAGTAATTATTAAACACATTAACTTAAGCATAATTGAGTTTTTTTGTAAGAAAATTGTAGAAGGCTTCTTTGTGTGATCTACCCTAATTTGAAACACCCGTTGATACAAATTTAGAACGTAATGTTTCTTGCTGACCTGCCGGTTTTCCCTCTTTCGTGTACGTGTGGCGTAAGTCGCGATCAATTGTCGGTTGTCGATATTGTACATGTATTTGTTTTCTCTCTCTCGATTGTTTATTATTTGCCAGACTTGTCAATTTATATCACTGATGAGATTTTTAAAAAGAAGAAGTGTTTTCTAAACATTTCAGTTAGCAGGACATAATACTGCAGTTGTTCTCAGTCGATTAAACGATAAACAGACTAGAGAAAATAGGGATATAGGAAGAACTCAAACTCAAACAGTTTCAGTTGCAAACAGTCATACCCTCTCAGGAAAAGTGTAATAATATATATTAACACTATGCAAGAAGAAGATGAGACATAGAAACGTCAAGAATAGCTGCTAGAGCGTAGTAGAGCGAGCAAGCTAATAATGGATGTGCGTCGGCCGCGCATATATAATACGATTGCGGACGCCATTTTGCAAATTCAACATGGTGTCTCAAAATGGCTGCCTTGTCTTTGAGGATTCAACGTTTACCGCTTTTTGCCAAACCAACAGGCCATAACGTTTGTAGTCAAAATTGGAACTGTACAGGAAGAGATAGAACAATTACTTTAAGCAATTACTTGCAACGCATTTTCTAACCCAATGAAGCAGTGTCATAAATGAGTTAAAAGGTTCCGCTGAGTTTTACGAAATCAATTTATTTTCAATTAGTTATCTCACAAACAATACAGAACCTTCGCAGCTTCAATTGAGGCTTCTTAAGCAACAGGGTCACCCAACGAGAATATAGTTCAAATCATTTAAACATAGCATTGTTAAACGTACTTAGTATAATTTAGACGGTAGGTATAGGCATATTTTTATCCCCTAAAAATTTTTCAGCTGCTTGGATTTCCTAACTGAAAGTCACAGTGATCCGATCCAGCCAGAAAAAAAGGCTCCAGAAAATTCTAGGTGACCTTTCTAGGGTAAAAATCCGTTAAAAATGGGCAATTACTAGTTTTTCGATGTTCGAAAATCCTATAAGAGGCAGGCAAGCAAGAAATTTTACAGCAAATTTTCCGAAAATTCTAGATCTCAAATCGTCTTCCGAACAGATATTTTCCGAAAATTGACGTTGGGTGCCCCTGAAGCAATTCAGGGTAGAACGTTTTAAGCAATTATTCTATATACAAAAAAGGTCATTAATGCTATCTGTCTCGGTGAATACATCTAAGCCGTTGCAAACCAAGGTGGAAACTAGTCTACATGAAAAGGAGAACTTCAAATGAGAACATATTGATTGAAAAAGAATGAATTAAGTAAGAGTGTCCATATATATGTATTTAAATATTTTCTGCGTAAAAAGGCTAAAAGTATGATTAAAGAGTATAGATGTTGACATCATCTTACCAAACGCGACTATTCAATAAAGATTTTTACAAAATCATGGCGAAAATATAAAAAAGTAAAAGTTAGTGTCTAGAGTTCATACTGAATGTGGTTTAGGTTTAAGCTTTAATTTTTTTCTACCAAAATAATTCAAAAGCTGTAAAGGTAATTGAAATAACAAACAGTTCCACAGGAACAATTTTGAAGCCATTTCTTGTTTCTAATAATGCACTTAATCTTAGTCTTCACGTTTAAAATATTTCTTTCATTTAAGATGCTTCTTTGCCTTCCTCTTTTACTGGGATCTAACAGTTGTAACTTTAGATTAAACAGCTGTGCAATCTGAAAGCGTGCCCAAACTGAACTACTAGGAACTGGCCAACAAATAGAGGAAAGCACCCAGTGACCAGTTAAAACAGTGAAGAAAAATTCCAACAACACAAAAAAAGAATGCAATAGGAAACACTGAATTGGACAACCTGAAGAAAATTTGACTTGTTTCAATTTTGGTTAAAAACTGTTCATCTCAAAAGGCTTTGAAAGTTCATCTATGATATTTGTAACTTCATTTTAGTTCAAGTCATTAACTAAGGTATCGTAAGTAGTATTTTTTTTTTTGGAAATACTCTATTGAAAAGCTATAATTGTCGGCGTGAAGTTTTATAGCGTGTCATTTGGCATGACCAAACGAAATGGACTAAATCGCCTTGACGCAGTCCCTTTAAAGAGTTGTGAACCTATGTGAAGAGCTCTTAAGTCCTTAATTGACCTGGTTTTCATATGTGCACAATCTTCGGTTACAACTAAGTCGGAAATACTCAAAAATAATGATTTTCAACGCAAAATCAAAGTAAGGAAAAAAAACCCGATGTTTTCGATCCAGTGCTTACCCAACAGGTCACATGTTTTTGGAGAATTAGGAACAAGCACCTTATAACTTGACGACTCACTTCACGTATTAAAAACTGGAAAAAGAGTTGATATCAAAATATCGAGTGCGCAGAATATGTCACTGAGCCCGCATCGCAGACGCATGCGCATTGTTATCGAGTTTCAGGATCATTCATTTGTGGCCCTCATAATTAAGGCATGCATTTAACCTGTTGTTTTTGTTCCGTAAATTTTGTTTTCACATTATATATCTCCGACGTCCTCACTGGGTGTATTTGTATTGTTTTTGGTGCATTATTAGAGTGTTGCTGGTGCAGTTGTAGACAAAGTTCATTGGATCAATTGAGGTCCTAGTGTGGGTAACCGACCATCTACCCCTCACCTAAGTCAACATTAACACTTTCTTCTCACTTAGGGCAACATTGTGACTTAGGGAAGGGGTAGGTGGACAGTTACCCATGGCCAAAAACCTCAATTGATAACCAGTTCATCACTTGAGCCATGAATCTCATTTTTTGTCAGAACTCTTACAAAAGGCTGTAGCTACTCAAAGCAAATCACATTCACGTTCTAATGACATTACATGCGGTCTTTAATATAACCTACTGCACTTGTCCTTCGACTTCGTTATTATTCGTATTGCAGTCAACTTGACATAATTGATTGGTCAGCCTGTTTCGTCCAGTTGGTAGTGATAACAGGACCCCGTCATTCCATTTATTAACAAGCGTTACACCCATGTCAAACATGGCGATTTCCCGGACTTAGTTCAGTCTGATCCGTAGAACTTTCAGCTCCCCTTTTTCTCATGCGACAACAGCGCTTTCGCCCAAACAAGATGATGCAGAAAGCCTTTCGGAACTCCTTGTTCATGCACGCGTAGACAATGGGATTAAAAAGAGAGTTTGTGTAGTGCATCCATTTCGCCACTACGACGGAATCAGTAGTGACACAATCAAGGCAGTATGCAAACAAGATATTTAAAATGAAGAAAGGCCCCCAGCTAATTACAAACGCACCCATCACAACAGCTAGAGTTTTGGCGGCGCGCATCTCGGACGCCAGAAGGAAGTTCTTGACGTTGCCGTTGATCATAAGTGCGATTTGTCGCGCTTGATAACTGGCCGTCTTAAAGATATATCGGTACGTCGTGCACATAACAACCAGTGGAATAAAGAAACAGCTTATAACTACCATTAGTTCGTAGTTTGGGGGAGGCCAGAACCACAATATAATCTTCAACGAAGACATAAAAATCGAAAAGATCCAAATTATGATTATTATAGTTATTGCTTTGAGTGACGTCATGGTAGTGTGATAATTGAGAGGATACCTTATGCAGAAATATCTCTCAATGCTTATTGCAGTCAAATTCATAATGGAGGCTACTCCACAGAGGATATCCATAAATGTCCAGATCTTTACCAGCGGGCCTCCTTCAAGAACATTTGCTTGCATTAGAAATGCGGCCCATATGGGCATAGAGACAAGGGCAACTAGGATATCCGCTACTGCTAACGATACCACAAAGTAGTTAGTTACCGTTCGAATCTTGACGCTCCTCTTGAACGCAAGAATCACCAGAATATTTCCAAATAAGGTGGCGCTGATAATCAGTAGCAAGAAGCTAAAAGAGAGAATGTTAAATGGATCTTTGACATCGCCTGCATTTGAAATGTTGCGTGTAATCTTAGGCAAAGACGCGTTAGTGTGATTCACCACTTCGTGTGGATTCCCAGCTGTATTTGACGACGCCATGACGATGTTAATCGGTACACTGCACAAAGGTGTTTAATCCCGGAATTGACGATTTTTACTTGTAAAAAAACTCCCACATCAAAAATGTAGTACGTTGCTGCTAGAGGCAACGGTTTCCTAGCTTGAAAGTTCACTATCTTGTTCTAGGTGCAGTGCTAAGAAGAAGAACGAAACTGCTCTCGGCAAACCTTTCTTCTGAAAGCGGATTGTCTCCTGTGTGGCTTGTTACTCCTTTATCTGTCTATTCTTTTTTGTGGGTCTCTTTTCTTGTACGTGTTGTTTTTAGTTTGCAACACAGAGTCTCTTTCTTTTCAAAAACACCTGCAGGGGATAAAAAAAAGTCACTGCTCAGAAATTAAGATAAAAAAGTCGGTCGTTAATTGCGGTTGTTAATATTTTCTTCATTGGCACTTGTTTCGTATGTCATCATTAAGAAGTGGAAGCCAATGAACGACTGTAGCTGCCTGGCTTATAGCAGCATTTATAAATCATCTAATAGCACTCTGAAATAAAAAGATTCCAATAAAATCAGAATAATTGTTAACAGCTTGAAAAAGAAAAAAACTGAGACACAGCATGGAAAAACATGTGAAGCAAAATAATCTGCTTCTGCCACCAGCATTTCAGTATTAAGTGGTTAACCGATCGATTTATCGTTATCCGTAATCAGTATAGAACTTAACGAAATACCTATCGCTGTTACAATCCTACGAATTGAGTCTTTCAGAGAGATATTGTCTACCTAGAGCTAAAGAAAGATACAGAGCCTTAAAGATAAAAAAACCGCAATTCAGTGAATTTATTGAGCACTAAGCTTTCATCCAAAACGGACCATTTTGAAAACATAGAATAAAAACATTGTTTTATTGACCTCTCAAAACAATATTAGAACGATTCCACCAGCCTTACAATTTGCCGCAATTTTGAACATTCGGAATTTTTTTCAGTTAAATGTTGTCTCCAATAATGACATGCATAATGTATGTAACAAACTGCTAGTTTTTGAACATTTTTCGAGGATTAGTAAGAACCGGAGAAAAAGAAAAAGAAAAAGAAAAGAAATTTAAACACTGCCGCTTTTTTCCTAATTTTTCAAAGTGCATTAAATTCTATTTATGATATCCCTCTGTGGTAATTCTAATTCTAATTCTCCAAAAACATAGCATTTTGCGAGATAAGTGTTCAGTTTTCAGGTTAAATACTCATAATTTTCTTTTTTCCTTTTTTCGTGGGAATGAGTCGACATTGCTGGGTATCGGAGGATTTGGGGGAATGGAATGGAAAGTTGTGGATTAGAGGACAACAAGACGCGCCCTCTTTACATTATAAATGGTCTTTGTCTCCTTCGAATCTCTCGAGAATTATCATTAATAATTTTTCCTCTCGTTGTCTCGTGCAGTAGAGTTCCTTTTTCTGTTAGGACCTTCCATAAAGCTACTGTTTAGAGACATGACAAGGTATCATGCAGAACGATTGTAAGTCTTGTGATGATATCAGGTTTTTTTTCTCCAAAAAATCCAATAAAAGTTATCAAAATTCCTTGATAAAATTCTATTTTAAAAGTATTAATTATTAAGACCCTAGGCTTGGGTTAAAAATGTTATATGCAATGTTTAAAAAAAAATTAAAACGTGTCTAATTTATCTTTCCAATCACATTTGCCATTTCTGCCCTGCAAGAATTAGTGTTCAACTCATGATTGGTTGCTCTGGAGCCTCTTACACACTGTATTACTGATTTTAATAGTTAAAAGATAGCTTTACTCTCATCCAATAAATTACAATGCTACGGTCAATCTGCTTCTTCTCAGATAGCTTCAGGGCTAGTTCAGTGAGAAATCGCTCGGTTTCTCTTGCATTTCCGCCATATGCATGAGAAAGCTGAAGGAGCCATGTTCAACTACAATAATTCGCTGGTTGCAGTGTCGCTTTTTCTCGTTCCGGTTGCTCGAGAAAGCCGTGGTTTAACATTAGCTCTTTGCGCAAGGAAATTGCACGTTGCATCGTTGCCAATAACCGCGTACACTGACAACTCAAACGAGCTTGCAGTACTGGTTAAAACTTCTTCTGTCATGGTCTGAAGGTGTGGCTCGAGCTCATCACCTTGGCACACATTCTTGCGAAGGCATACGAACAGGTCTTGCACTTCGTCGTGCCTCCTATGGGCAAATCAGTCTTTCAATACATTGCATGATCAGTGTCGAATCTCTTCCCGCAAGGACAAGTAGATGGGAGTTACTTTGGTATCCAGTGGTACCTACGGCTGAGCGCATCGTAGAATGACCTCTTGTTGAGGTCGAAGTTTTTAATGGAAATGTTGTTAACCAACTCGAGGCACCCTTTATCTTTGCGCCAGGTCGTTTGACCTCAGTTTCTCTGGGCTCATCTTCTCGCAGAGCTACCACAGGATGGTGTTTTTCAGTTATTCTCTGGTATTGGCAATCCTTCTCCGGGAGGTCTTGAGTTGTTCACTATTCATTGGTGATGTGTTGTCTGGACTGTTGATATGTTTAGTAGCAGCACGGGAGTTGGCAAACTCAAGATCAGAAACGGCCGGGAAGATAGGTTTTTCCGCACCAGCTTTCTTTCTTGTAGCCATCTGTAATTGCCGGGATAAATACATTGTCGCAAATTGCATCCAGTTGCGTCCGGTGTTGCTTGAGGTTGGGCGGCATTGCTCTGATGCAATAAGTCAGTTAACGTTTGAACCCGCTCACAAAAGCTGCATCAGCTGCTTAAGGTTCTGTCTTTGCTGTTCTTCTTTAGTTCACACCATTAACTTACTAATTCTTGAGCTTATTTGCTGCATCCACTTTCACTTCCAATGTAGCCACCCAGATACTTTCTCCCATCTATTGTGATGTTAACTCTGGTTCCTCCAAAGATTCCGCGTGCTTCTCTCCTTTTCTTTAGGCTTTGCAACCAGCCACGACTTTAGGTTTGGGTTTTGGGTTATATCTACTTAGGATCCCACGTCACAATAGAGAGATTTAGAGTCACGTTTACGGCAAACGGCAAACGTGAATTTGTACCACGTGACCAAGTTTACACTTAAATTGTGCTTTACTGTTCATCGCTTCTACCCCAAAATTAATAGCTTCTCGTTAGTTTTGTCTATAACAATCGATTTGGACTGCATTTACCTTCTCAGTTCCTATTTTAAGAAATTCTCAACTTGAATTTCACGTTTGCCGTTTCAGCTAATTTATAAGTGCTTTGGGATAGAGGGAGTACACCTCTGCTACTCCGTTGATCCAAAAGCTTCCTGGCAACAGTTAATTCTCCTACAAGCACAAGCTTAGCGAAGGTTTTGGCTAATAGTTCTTCTTTAGTTCTTTCTTTGCTGGCCATTTGGCTTCAGTAAATCGTACTAGCCTCGAGAAGCAATTCATCAAATTCACCCAGCTCCCATTGCGTCAAACGTCTAAACAAGCACTGGGAGTGTTCTTTCGCTGTTGACTTGAATGTGGGCATTGGAGAAGTAAGGCAGGCATTACCATGAGGAATTTTAGAGCAATACCTTTAAACTCGATGACATCTTGGTTCCAAAACTCGATCCTCTTTGTTGTGTCAAAGATAAATTTTTTGCCCGCGGGTCCACTCGGTAATTTGAATAAATTCCGTCTCCAAATACGATTTATTCATATATCTCATCAATTTTATGGCAGATATCATCTTTAGTATAGTCTCCTCATATTTTACGTTCTGTTGATGGTGGTTGGCTCCCTGCTGTGATACTGACATTCACTTAAGCTTGATCTTGCTGAAAACTCTACACTCGCGCGGTCGACTCCGCTGGTGAAGATCGCTTTCTGCAGCTACTCAGATGGATATTCTTTCCATGATTAGCAGAAAAAATTCGTAGACACAGGTTGCATTGAAAGGAAACAGGAATTTGTCGAGTTTGTATTTGTTCACGATAATGTTGATTCCGCTTCATTTTCACTTCAAACATTGATCTCCTGGGTCGAGGGAACCGCCATCTTGCCGACATCTTTTTCAGCTGTCCTCTTTTTTACATACGCTCAATATTGATTTGTAGAGATACCTTTCATTCATTCATTCATTCATTCATTTATTTTTGCCATTAACTACAAATACACCAACAGTATACAGAAAATTATAATACATTAAAGATAATATACACTATTCTGACTAAATTATTTACAAAATAAAATGTTTAAAGTAGTAATGGCAAGGCAGCTTATATAGAAGCCGGGGGCTTATAAACTACCATAGGGTAAACCATGCAAGTTAAGGATACTGAATGAAAATTTTGATTAATTCTTTAAAAAAAAATAAAGAAAAGAAAAGAAAAGAAGAGGAAAGAGAAAAAGAAAAAGAAAAGGTGTGTAGCTCGTCTTTGGACCTCTTGTACCTAAACAGCTTTACCTTTAATTAAATCTATTGTTTCACACAGGTTCTTTCATAGACCAAACTTTATAAAGAAATAATTTTTTGCGATCGGCAGCTTAGCACAATTTACCGCACTTGGCTGCCCTTAAAAACCCTCTGATTTATGGTAATGTTCTAGAATTAAAGGACTATTTTTTCCACACAATTTTTGTTCAGGTTGTTGCAGATTGCAAAAATTTGTTGCAGAAAGTAGAGAGTGTTTCTACTAATTTGCAGCAAAATCTGTAAATGTTCTGCGTTTTACCAGCCCAAAGCAAACTTGTTTTGGAGCAAGTGACGCGACTCCCGTGTAATTTAATCCAATCAGAAGTCAGTATTCACACAACTTGCAACAACCTGATTTGTTGCAAGACAGGTTTGATTCGTGGGTGGTGAAACGCGCAACATCGCTATTCAACTCCTTTTGGAGCAGTGAGGCAAAACAAGTTGAACGTTTTTGTTACCCGTTTTGCCGTAGCTTTACCCTGGCGCCTATACTCTCCTGGTTTTCGAAATGGCGCAAGTCTACCTGTCTCAAGCGGTATGGAGAAAGTATAAGGGGCATTGGTGGAA